TGGTTTGTGATGCAGTGAAGAACCAGGCGCGCTGGGTGCAGCAGTTCATCTCCGACATGGCCGGCCTGTACTGGGACACGAAGGACGCCAACTTCAACGTCATCCTGGTGGACTTTGAGAGCGAGGACATGGATGTGGAGAAGGCGCTGCAGGACGCCCGGCTGCCCCGGTAACGGAGCAGGGAGCCCCAGGACCCCTCTCCCACCAGTGCTAAGCCCTGCCCTGCTAGACCCCTAGCCCCACAGGAAAGGGGGCCTGGGCCCAGAGGGCACCCTCCACTCCTGGGCCTCATCTGCAGCAACGGGAGGGTTCCAGGCAGCACCGAGGTGATGTCCCTCCTTCCTCACAGGGCAGGACTGGGGGGGGGGGCGTGTGTCTCAGTTACAGGCGCCCCCTCTCCAGCTCCTACTAGGCGTGTGGCTTGCTCAATGGGAGAGGAGCCAGGGCTTTGGTTTGTGACCTCTCGGTCACGGTCACTGAGCCCAGCCCCCCGAGGCCTGACCTGCAGCCCCCGGCTGTCCCCACTGGCCCGGCTATCCTAGCCCCACTCCCACCCAGCTCTGCCCACACACCGCAGGCCTGATCTGCAGCCCCTCAGCTAGCCCAGCCCGAGCTCCACCAGCTCTGCCCATACTTGCCAGGCCTGGCCTGCAGCCCTCCCTCCCCCGGCTACCCCAGCCCTGTGGGCCGCTCTGCTAATGCACCTCACTCTTGCATCTCTCCTGCTATTGCAGCCTTGGCTCCTGTGCCACAAAGGCTCCTAATTCAATCTGCCTTGCTTTGCTTTACCTCCTGGCTGCGGCTGTGCCCAGACAAGCTGGCTGCCTGCCAGCCGTCTGACCTGCAGTGTGAGGAAGGAGGAGTAAATGTCAGGTGCCCGGAGACACCCGTGTCCTTGCACTGCCAGGGGAGCTGAGTGCATGGAGCTGCTTTGCTCCTGCTTTCCCTGAGCCCCAGACACCGTGTGCTCCAGCCTGCTTTGAGGGGCTCTCGCCGGACGCCCTCGCTATGAGCCGGCTCACTCTGCCCAGCCAGCAGGCGCTAACTGGAGTGGTGCATCCCCAGCCATGGCTGTTCCCCCCCACACACCCACACACGCACTCTCTTCATGCTGTTGTAGTTTGTGTTGCAGTGGTGGCCAGACGCCCCCCTAAAGATCAAGGGTCACATTATGCCAGATGCCATCCCCGCAGACAGCCACACGCTGTCCCTGCCCCAGCAAGCCTGCAGGCTGGTTGCTTGCTTGGGCTCTCCTCTGTGGTGTTAATAATAATGCCGGGTGCTTAAGGCAGGGTGGCAGACTGGCAGGAGCCTTAACTAGCCTCACGCAGCCCCTCCCGGGAGCTTGTTAGTGTCCCCCTCCCAGAGCACCTCACTGCTGCGTACAGCCTCATGCAGCCATGCTGGGAGCAGTCTGCCTAGGGGATTGCCCCACCCTCTCTCTCCCCCAGTGCCCACCCGAAGGCCATCCCAGCCAGTGTCCTGCCTGTGATGGGGCAGGGCCCAGTGCCAGCTGCTTCAGAGGAAGGTGCAGCCCTAGCTGCGCACTGGCACAGCATCTGTTTGCAGGGCAGACCCCTGCTGTGCCTCTAGCCCTACAGACGTTGATCTGGGGAGGGGTCTGCCCTGCAAATGGATGCTGTGCCAGGATGCAGCTGGTACTGCAGTGATGTGGGAGCCAGGCGGGCTGCAGAGGGGCTAGCTGCCATCCCCAAAACTGGGTGGCACTGCAGGCAAGAGGGGCCTGCCAGCTGAGTAGCGGGAGAGAGCCACGTGGCTGCTAATGGTCTGGGAGAGTTCACCCGAGAAAGGCTTCTTAGAGTTCAGCTGGGTTCCCTCGGCTCCAGCCCCTGGCCCCTCTAGTAACCCCCAGACGATTCCTCTCCTGCCTCAGCGTCCCCGCCTGGCAAGTGCCTGCGGTCACGCGGCCCAGCTGTGCCCACTGAGCTGGGCTCCCTGCAGTCGCTGACTCTGCGTTGTTCTCAGGTACCAGTACTTGAAGCGTACGGGGAACTTTGAGCGCTCGGCAGGGCTGCAGGCCGGGGTGGACTCCATCGAGGTGAGAGACGGCAGAAGGGCTCTGTCTCTCCAGCGCCACTGCCCTTGTCCCATCCTGCCCCCTGCCTCCGGCCAGGCTGTCCGGTCACGGCCTCTCTCTGCTCTTGGCTCCCTCAGGATGGGAGCAGCATCGTGTTCCTGTGCGACCTGCACATCCACTTCCCCCTCAACATCCTGGACAGCATCCGCAAGCACTGTGTGGAGGGCAAGCTGGCCTACGCGCCCATCGTCATGCGGCTGGGCTGCGGGAGCTCGCCGCGGGACCCCAACGGTAACGCTAATGGAGCGAGGCAGCTAATGGCGCAGGCACTATGAGCACTGTGCTGCCGAGACCTATTAGATGAGCAGCCTGCTGCTGCTTAAATTACATCGGTGAGGAGCCCAGCTACGCTGGTGATTGAAACTCAGCATCTCCACCGGCTCCTTACAGCTGCACGTCCCGCAGGCTGGGGGTGTGAGCAGGGATAATAATGCCGGGTGCTTAAGGCAGGGTGGCAGACTGGCAGGAGCCTTTGCCGGGAGCCAGCTGGCATCTCCCTCTCCCAGGCAGTCTGCCCTGGGACTTGCCCCGCCCCCCAGTGCCCACATGGGGAGGATCCGGCTCTGCCTTCAGTGCAAGGGCTGCTTGGCCGTTCTCATCCCATGCACGCAGCAGTGCCAAACTGGATCCAACCCGAGGTCCAACCCGGCCAGTGTCCTGCCTTTGATGGGGCAGGGCCCAGTGCCAGCTGCTTCAGAGGAAGGGGCAGCAGCTCTGACCTGAGCAGTTATGCAGGAAATTAGGAGCTGGGGTGGAAGAACGGCGGCGCAGCCCCACCTTCTGGGGGACTGGTTCTCTACAGGCCCGCGAGCTGAGCCTCTCCTGCTGCCGTGCTGCAGTTGGTTGAGGGCAGAGCTGGATGGGACCGTGGGCCCTGCCGCCTCCCCCACTCCTCCCCCCCTGCACAGAGCCCCCTTCCCACCTGGGCTCTCGCGAGGCACCTCTCTCCCCTCCTTCCTCAGGCTACTGGGAGGTGAACGGGTTCGGCCTCTTCGGGATCTACAAGTCGGACTTTGACCGGGTCGGGGGCATGAACACGGAGGAGTTCCGAGACCGCTGGGGCGGGGAGGACTGGGAGCTACTGGACAGGTACAGCTGGCAGGGCCTGCCCCCACTTCCCCCCCCCCCCATGGCTGGGGCAGGGACACGGGAGAGAAGATGATGGGCACGAGGGAGGGATTAACCCCTGCAAGGCCCTGCAGCTCTGAGGTGCTTTCTGGTGGTACCTCACAGTGGGAGGGGGGCAGCAGGGCGGGAGCTCGGCTTGCACTGTCCGTGGCCCCGTTTGCTTCTGCCCAGGTACAGACCGTGGCATGGGCAGCAGGAGGCACTAGGAGCAGCAGGTGCTCCAGCCGGGCTTGTGTGGAGACAAATCTGCTTGAAACGTCCCCGGTGTCCTTTTGAGCAGGGAGAATGGATTTGTGCCTCCCTTTTTTTTCCCTTACTCTGACCTATCAATTAGCCCTGACGGTGGCAGGGAGAGCACAGGGGCTGGAGCCTTCAGCAAGGCCGAGTTGGGGTGTCCCTGGCTTTGCCGGCAGACTCCATGGAAGGTTCAAAGATGGCCGTCAGTCTGGACGGCGAGCATCGACTGCAGCAG